GGGGGGAGAGGGGGGGTGGAGAAGGAGACGTGATACCTGCTGTTCCCCACTGCCCCGTGCTGCATGGGGAGCTCTGTCACGAGCCCCCATCCTCTGCTGTTCAAAAAATAAAAAAAAAAAAGCCCCCACTCGCCAGCCCCCACCATGGCCCCTCCCCATTTCCCCAGCCCCACTCTACTCCCTACTTACCAGCATGGAGTCCGGGTCTGGGTTCAGCTCCCTGTGGTGGTAAGCGGGGCTGCCTGAATCTCCGAAGCTCTCTGAGTATTTTTCAGATTGATTCAGACCTCTTTACTGGTCTCCTGATTCAGTTCATATTCGGAGATTCAGCCACTGAATTGGGCCAAATCTCCTCCGAATCGAATCAGTACCCGAAGCTTTGCACAGCCCCAGTAGGGAGTAGCAAAAGAGACTGACAACAGAGACAGATTATATGCAAGGGCAAGAGGATGAGAATCATATGGATAGGTAAGGTGACAGTCTAAGTCAGATTTCTTCTATCACACAAACAGTACAGTTCAGTTAGTTTAAAAAAAATTAAAAGTAAAACCATCACTAGTGTAAAGTTCTGGGTTTTATTTTTGCATGTATAACACTGAGATGGAAGCAAAAGTAATTAAAGTAAAAGGTACTGTCAGTCGCAAAATAAATATTGAGCTAGTTTACAAAATATCCATTAGTAGTAATTGGTTTTAATTTTTTTTTCATTTTCAAATGTTATGCATGTTACACAATCACCTTAAAATGCATAATAGTGTTTCAAAAACTCACGTCTTGCTTCAGGAGAAGAAATCTGTTCCACTCGGGATTTGCATAGCTTCCTCTTTCTGGTGGTGGGTAGCCTCACATACCTCCAAAGCACATAAATACAGGACAAAACTTGCCTGCAGGCAGCCAATAGGAAACGTTAGGAATGGGGGAATGGGTGAACTCCTGTATCTAACTTGGCAGGAAGATACTTTCCATTGTGTCAGGACACGGCTTGCTCAGAGGTAGACATCTACACAAACCAGCTTGCATGCCTGGAACGGGAAGGGGACCTGCCCACCTTTTGCCCAGTATCCTTGTGATTAGGGCACTTAACTAGAAAATGGGAGATCTGGGTTTTATATCCCACTTATCCTAACAGGGTTTCAACCCACATCTCCACTTCTTCACAAAAGTGCCCCGTAATTATTAGGTGATTGCTAGGTAGGACTTGATTGCATGCTGTTTGAAGCTGGCCCACTGGACAACCAAAAATGAAACATGAATGTGCCAGAAAGAGAGCAAGCAAGAGAAAGTATGACTATTTTTTATGAGGTAGGTTCTCCTTGTGGAGAAGAATCCTGAGTCTGGGGACCCCCCTGCTCCTAGCATTGTTTCTGCATTGCATCCAATGCCCGTTTAGTGAAAAATGCATGAACGGTACAAGGGAACAGAGGACAGAAAGCGAGAGAGAGAAACGAGAGAGAGTGGGTGTTCTCTTATATACATACGTAATCATTTTGTGCTGATGGCTACAAATGTGCGAGTACTCATTAATTTGTCTGATGATGGATGCAGTATGTTTCCAGGTAAATTTAATATAGGCAGGATTAAACGTGCAAAAAACCAGACAGCAGTTTAAATGCAAGAGGAGTAAGTCTGCCCTTCATGTTTACAAAGTTTAATTTTTCTTGTTTTTCAGCCATGGAAGAGTTAATAGTTGAGCTACGTCTGTTTCTTGAACTGTTGGACCATGAATATCTAACATCCACTGTCAGAGAGAAAAAGGCAGTAATAACTAACATTCTCCTGAGGATACAGTCATCAAAAGGTCAGTGCTGGAGACTTGTTGCTTGCAGAATGGGAAGAATTAGCTTGTGCTCAGGGGCTTTTTTTTCCTTTCCCCCCAGAAGCCAAATTGAAGCAAACATAGACAAACAAGGAAAAACTAAATGTAACTTTGCTAAGTGTTTTCCTTATGTTAAACAATAAAATGGGATAATGGGCAGGACCTAGCCTACTGAACATATGTTCCACCCTATGAATATAAACATAATCTAACCACAAATTCATTTTACTTTACATAGTTTGCCAACTAGCATGTTTTGTGATCTGTGAATTTAGCAGTTACTTTATTTCATTTGTGGCTGTGCCTGCAATTAGTGGTAATGTTGAAAAGTAGTATTACATTATGGAGCACTGACAGCAGCCTGCTGCCATTATACATTTTTTGGCTTTCCAGACCTCCTCCACCTTGCTTTACCCAGAAACAAGCCAACCTCAGTGATATTTTTCATGGTACTCTCTGCAAGGTTAATGTTGCCCCATCTCCCTCTCCCTTGCAGGAAATGTTGGGGAGGAAAACAAAAGAGAATCAGAAAGGAATTTTGAGTAATGGTGTTGTTGGATTTTTTTAAATGTTGCCACTTAAATAAATCTTTCATGTCAGCACCCCATTTAAAACAACTTCACCAACTTAACTTTGACCCTGATATTTTCAGAAAACCCATATGCAACAATCAGTGTGTCAAATTATTAGGATCTTTTGTAAGTCAAGAAATCTACTGTTGTTGAACAGTAGTACATGTTACATTCCTTACTCCATCAGTTATTGTACATTATAGCAAAATACAGTGGTTACATCATTTTTAATTTGTGTCCTTTCATTCATGCCCTAGTCATTATTCTTGCAGCTGGAATAGAAGGACATAAACAGATCATAAAGAGATAAATATATTAAAATTGTACAAAAACAATGCATTCACTTTTGGAGACTCCATTGCAGTACACTTTTGGAGATTTCAACTATGCTAAAGACTGGTTAAAAATACAGAAGAGGTCAAATCCGAAGATGGGATATCAGCAAAGGAAGTTCAAAATATTACGGGGAACCTCCCAAATGGCAAATGTCCAGGGCTGGTCACCTTTAGCAGCAAGATCTATACATCTTCTGATGCCGTGCTTATTTCAAATGTTCAGTCTCTCTTGAACAAGAAAATTGCCTAATTTTGCCTGGAAGCCAGCATAGTTATGCTCCTGAAAAAGGATGAAAATCCAATTGACTATTGATCGGACTAACCAATGCAGTTAATTAGTCTCAAATAATGAAGTATTGGCTACTGGCTTAGGAAATCAGGTGCGTAGCTTTATTTCAGAGAGAGCCACAGGTTATAATATTGAATGAATATGAAACATTATTCATCACATCAAATATATACAAGTGACTTTCTAACTTTAGATGCTGACAAAAACATTACTTGTTCTACTATACAACTCTTACAATTAGTGCTATGTTGCACTACTATTGTGCTTCATATGAATTCCAGTCATGAACCAGCAGATAGCTGGTTCCCAAAGCTATCAAATACATTACAGATAGAAGCAGAAGCAGCAGCCCACCTACTGTCAGCACTGACCTAGTGTTGTTTGTGGATGTATATAAGTTGGTGGGACTGGATGAGCTTCATCCAAGGATGCCGAAAGAATTAGCCAGTGTCATAGCAGAGCCACTGGCATGGTGGTTTGAACACTCGTGGTGCTCAGGTGAGGTCCCAGAGGACTGGAAAAGGGCCAATGTGGTCCCTATTTTCAAGAAGGGAGGAAGGAGGATCCGGGTAACTATAGACCAGTTAGTCTCACCTCTATCCTTGGGAAAACTCTTGGAAAAAATTATCAAGGATCACATTTGTAGGAGTCCAGTGGGTAATATAATGCTGAAGGGCAACAAGCATGGGTTCATAGCAGGTAGATCCTGCCTGACTAACTTTGTTTCTTTCTATGACCAGGTCACTAAATTCTTAGATGCAGGAGTCGAGGTAGATGTCACCTACTTGGACTTTAAGAAAGCCTTCGACATGGTATCCCGTCCTGTTCTTGTAAACAAATTGAATGGCTGTGCCATAGACAATTACACAGTCATGTGGATGGCAAATTGGCTTAAGGGTTGTATTCAGAGAGTGGTAGTGGACGGATTGGTATCTACCTTAAAAGAGTGGGCAGTGGGGTCCCCCAAGCTTTGGTCCTTGGGCCGGTGCTGCTCAATATCTTCATCAGCAACCTGGATGAGGGTATGGAAAGCACTCTGTCCAAATTTGAAGATGACAGAAAACTATGGGGTAAACACACTGATGGGAAGCAACCAAATCCAGGTGGACCTGGACAGGTTAGAAAAATGGACAGAGAACAATAGGATGCAGTTTAACAAGGACAAGTGCAAGGTGCTGCACCTAGGGAGAGGAAATCACCAGCACACCTATAGGCTGGGGGATGATCTTCTCAGCAGCATAGCGGCAGAAAGAGATCTCAAAGTTGTTGTAGACTCCAAGATGAATATGGATTGTCAGTGTGATGAAGTAATTAGCAGAGCTAACCGCACTTGTCATGCATTAGTAGGTGCATCACAAATAGGTCCAGAGAGGTAATATTTCCCCTCTATGCAGCACTAGTCAGGCCGCAATTCAAGAGGAATGTGAACAACTTTGAGAGGGTCCAGAGGAGGGTCACTTGTATGATTTGAGGCCTGCAGGGGAAGCCCTATAAGGAAAGGCTGAGGGACCTGGACCTTTTCAGTCTCTGCAAGAGAAGGCTGAGGGGAGGATCTTGTGGCAGTATACAAATTCACCAGGGGGGTGGGAAATGGGGGCCAGCAGGGAATAGGAGATGCTCTGTATACCAGGGCACCCCTTGGAATAACCAGGAACAATGGCCACAAGCTGATAGAGAGTAGATTTAGGTTGGACATCAGAAAACTTCTTCGTGTTTAGGATTGCCAGAATCTGGACTGGGCTTCCAACGAAGATGGTGCTGTCCCCTACCTTGGGGGTCTTCAAGAAGAGACTGGATAAGCATCTGGCTGGGATCACATGACCAGAGCACTTTTTTCTGCCACAGGCAGGGTGTCGGACTCGATGATCCATTGAAGTCCCTTCCAATCCTAACATCCATGAATCAAGAAGTCAGTCCTGACCTAAAGAGCTTATTATCTCAGACAAGAGCTAACAGGTCAGTAGACAGGGCAGCTCAAAGAAAAAGTCAGACGCTACTGGTTAGTATGGTAGGCAGTCTTATTGTTGTCAAGTTTATGGTCAAGGGCAATCTTAGGGAGAGATTTGAAGGACGATAATGCAGATGTTCTTTCATTTAAAGGGAGCTCCTCCTAAGTAGGAGGAACTTGTTTGAAAAAATAGCAAGTGAGTTGATGATCACTGACAGCCAGTATCAACTGGAGATGGGAATTAACTTGTTGATACTGAGCTTCATTAGTGCCACCTTGCTACCGAGGTTCTTTCTGGTTATGAACCAATGACCATCTAGGATAAATGCAAATATAAATTGTAAACAGTCCTGGGAGAAGGGACTAAAACCTGGGACTTGCCTGTCTGAGAAAGGTGCCTTCATCAGGGGACTGTAGGTATAGAATCATATTCACTTTCGTGCTCTCTCTCTGCTTGTTTTCCTGCTGGTCCCAGAACTCTTGCACTCCTTTTGTCTTGTGTGTCTGCTTCAATAGAAGGAATGGAAAGATGCCCAGAATTCAAGAAATTTGTTGACAAATTTTGAACAATTCAGAGAAGAGCCTCAGGAATGACTGAAGGACTGAAATTGTTTTACAGTGAGAGGTTCCAGGAGCTTGTTAAAGATGCTGTGGATGGAAATTGAAAATAGACCAAGTCGATCTAGAAATAAAACACACATTCTTAATGGTTAGGGTAATTAATCATTGGAATGATGGCCCAGTTGAAGACTGGCTGTTAAAAGTTCAACATTAAATTCCCCACCAAACTGTTGTTTTGTTTGTTTATGTTCAATGCAGTAAAATGAAGCTATATAACCAAACACAGCAATCATTCTATTTCTGGTCATTAAAATAGTGTTATACCTATCCAGTGCAGATCTGTGAGGACAGTGTGAGCCACTTATTAAATTGTATCAGTGGCCTGGCAGAACTACACTTTAAAATCTTTATTACACTTTAAATCCTAGACATCTGAATCAACAGTTTATTTCCATAATTGAAGCAAACCATAGGTAAATTTAAGGATAGTTGGTCAGTAATTATGTGGAAGTTGGGAACTGGCTGGATATTCTAAAAGTTCTGGAAATAAACAGAAAAAAGTGC